AGCTGTGGAAACAGTTATGTTAATAAAGAATCAAATTAACAAGAATGGAGCCTCCTGAAGCTCCACCCTGAGCATAATACATGAAACAACTCAGAAGATCAAAGCACCCTTCTCCTTTGTGGAACTCCACCTTTGCTGCTTCCAGTGGAGGCTGCACTGTGGGAACTGCTGGGACTACTGAAGCAAACACAAGTCACACGGGGCAGCATTTGTGCCATTTGTCTTCACCGGTATCAGCTATGGGCCCCTCATTTGAGAAAAATATGTTTTAACCACCCCCCACAGGCTACATCAGAAGGAAATGAAAGCAACAAGAGACGAGGAAGGTAACACTTACTTGTATGGTAAAAAGACCTAAAATTAACACTGTTCTCGCAACGCTGTGAATTTCCTTTGTTTTCTTGGTTCTCATTCCCTGTCTATTCCCTTGAGAATAGGGGAAGTGAACAGTATCATAACCTCATAAATCACAGTAACTACCCTTTACACACTCTTCATCTTCCCACACAGCTCAGCTTTTTATTTCCACTGTTTTACAGTGATAGGGAGGAAAACCTAATACACTTGCACAGTCATGGTTTTCACTTGAATTAGTCAATGGTAAGATTATTTATAGTGTTCTAGTGTCCATGAAGATACTAATATTTTTTAATATTACTTCTGCCATGGCCTTGCTTCAAAGATGGTAATGCTAGTGGACACCAGCTTGTGTGCTTTCTTTCTCACTTTCTCTCGGTCTCACTAATAATGCTCAGTGGGAAGCAGCTTAGTGGTTTCTCCTGAAGGCTTGCTTCCTATCAGGAGATGGCCTTCAGGCAGTACAGATAAACCTAGTGCCCTTTGACATCCCACTTCCTGCCCACAGTGATAGCAACTTTTCAGTGACAGTGAAATACTGCTGGTCCTGTTGGAGGCAGAGAGTGCATGCTGCACCATCAGCTAGAGTGGTAAACTAGCTCAGGATCTTTAAAGTATATCTACATCTACAAAAGGAGGCAAGAACAGGCTTCAGTGTATCATACCCCATGTCCAAGGCACCTTCAACCTCAGCAAGAGCTGAGTTACAGATACTGCTAGTGGAAAAGACTGTGTCAGGCTCAGCCCAGCCCACACCCAATCTGTCCTTGCTAAGAAAATGAGATCAGGGTGATTGTAATAAAACATGGATTGCTTTGGGGTCTCCCTTACCAGCTCTGCTGCTGTACCCATGCAAGAGTGGGTAGAGATTATTTATACATTAAGGCTTAAATAAACTGTGTAGCAGAGAGCTGGGACTTGACAGTGAGAATGGAGCATGCCTGAATGGATTCTGGGTCCTTACTCTCTGATATACAATGGCCAAGCATGAAAGCTCACACAGGGCTCCCAGGGGCTCCCAGTGGAGCACTGGCCCTTGTTATGGACTCTATAAAACTGCAATTGAAATTGAAACTTTCACACTGTACAATGCCAGAAGCAAAGGAAAAATGAGTATGCAAAAAGTGAAGAGACTACAGAAGAGCCTGGAGAAAGAAGAGAACAAATATTATCTCTGCTAAAACAGGAAAGTGATAAAAATGCAGTAAGAGCTCTTAGAGCTTTTCTGGATGAGTTTCCAATTACTAAGCCATTACTGATTTGTGACCAAACTTAGTGCCATCTACAAACATATTTATATTGGTGCCCATGGAGCTGATAAATTATTCAGTTTCTCATTAGCAGAGTCATCCCTCCAGTCATTAGCTGTATCTTCCTTTAGCCCCATCAGAATTGAATATTAAAATTACTAGTCTTGTGGAATACAAAAAATGAAAAATACAGATCTGATGTGCAAGACTATATTAAAAGATTATTCAGCAAGAGTTTTATTCATATTTCCATGGTTTTTAATGTAGAACGTAACGTGCTGTTCACAGATCACCCTTCTGTGGGTCAGTGTCATTTAAGAAGGTGATAGAACATACCCTTCCTATAAAATCTGTTCCAGCAATACTGTGATTAATACAGTTGCTACTTTAGATACAACATGCAAAAAAAAAAAAAGCTTACATAACATTTTCCAATATATGTAAATAAGTGTTCATACATGTGTCCTCTTTTCTTCAAGTGTCTCTGAACCTTTTTCATTGCTTCTTTGCTTCTTGTACGGCCACCTGAGCTCACACTTTCTCTTCCATCATTTCAGATCCAGATAAATCCGGAAAAGAGAGAGAGAGAATTATATAACCAGAAAGCAGGAGAAAACGAAGTAAAAAAGCAAATTAAGATATATTGAAAAAGTGGCTTGACTTACCATTTTACACGAGCAGAATGATCGTCAAAGGGTTTAACTCTGTGCAGCAAACTATATGCAAGTAAGGATGCAGTACGACCTCTCCTCATGTAAATGATGCTTTGGATTGTCTCACATTTTTTGTGTCTGGATACAGGGAGAATGTGGGTGTCTTGGTGTTAGGGATGAATTTCCTCTCTTGCTCCTCCTGTCTTTTCTATGTTATTTAACAGAACTTTATCTCTTCTTTCAAAATTGTATGGATTTGTTCATATCCTCATAAATATGTATTCACTGTAAGTATTTTCCCATGGCATCGCATATTTAAAATCTATTGTGGAACTTTATGCAGGAAAAAAAAGCAGGAGCTATTGAGGTGGAAACACATTTACTATTTTGCAGAATAAATCCCACCAGCTTCATCTCTGTATACAGCCATTACATACAGGATATCTGTGACTGTTTGACATTCCTTCTGCACACTTCAGTATTTCTGTATACATTGGAGGTAGGAGCCACACACACATGAGCCTGTCAAGCTCAGAAGATGCACAGGTGGCAAGTGAATAAATGCAGCAAACTACAGAAAGTCAGAAGTAGTCATCTTAAAATGGACTTAATAAAACAGAGGGTGCAGTAGGGCTAAAAACCCCAAGCTATAAAGCCTTAATTTGCTCTGTTAATTGGCATTAAAATGAAAATAGTATGGGAATCTACTTGGTGGAATAAGTAAATTTTTAACATAAATTCTTTAAATCTTCATATACTCATATGGAGACTAAATGTAATTTCATCATGTGTTAAAAACTTGCCCCTGGCAGTTCATTTTCTTTTCCCAGTCATGTAATTACAAGTTTATCATGTTACTAAAATAACAGAATACTCTTTCTAATAATGTTGGGAGACTTTGAACATATTAGCAGGTCACCTCACCTCCTTTTTTTCTGATTTTTTTTTTTAAGGAAGGGAAATCTAGAAAGTGAGAGGCAAGATCAAGCAGTGAGTATACCCTCATCCTGTACTTGACTGCAGAACAAAAATGGGAGACCCCAGGTCTTCTGGCCCCAAGTTTTGTACCTTGCCTCTAGACAGCAGTTCACTGCTGAGTCAAAGACATGCAAATTTGGTTTGGAAGAATAAAGTGCAGAACAAGGGCTTTGTTCATCAAAGCATGTGCTTAGCTAACTAGCTGCAGCCAGGTTTGCTAACACAGTTGTATTCAGCAAGATCACTGGAAGGACAGTGTCTTGGGCGATTTCCATCACTGTATTCAGCACTAAGAGTTCTCTTCATAGTCTGGCCTGAGACCTGAAAGCTGACTGCATACATGAACCTCTGCACTGCTCTGGGGCTCCATGGCCTCCAAAGGTAACCACTTATGTCATTTCTATACTGCCTGTTGCCATAGCAATGGAGGTTGGGGTTTTCATCAGGTGACGCTCAGCATGCCAGTACCTGTCCTCTGGCTATATAACTCTACCAAAGCCTCTGAGAGCTTTGTCATTGACTTCACTGGGGTCAAGATTTCACTCCAAGTAAAGATCCGGCCCAAAGGCACTAGACACAACTTTTTAATGAAATCTTAGAGCAAAAGAGTCCTCGCTACGGACTCAACTTCTAGTTTAAAGCACTTCAGGTAATTTACTTCTGCTGTCAGGAAGTATCATTCTTAACCCTGGGGTAATGATCTTGCTTCAATTTAGGTGCCTGATATCATGTGCCATCTTTTTATCTTCAAATATCAAGCGTATTTTCATTGCATCTTTTGCACAGACTATGTAGGTATGATGCTATGCAGTAAAGAGAAACAAAATGTGTGATTTTTTAATTATTCTTCTGCTCTTCTATTTTTTAATCTCCAGATGGTCCCTGGAACTGGTGATGTTTTCTTTAGTCTATATATTTCCTGCTTTAATTAGCTTACTTAACCAGTAAGCTTTAATTAGCTTACTTAACCAGCACACATTTGAGAGACACACACGTGATCAGATAATATCAGGTGCTAATGTTTAATTGCTTTCACAAAATTAGAAGCAGATAAATGGTTGAACCGTAACTGAACAATCTTATTAGAAGACAAGCTGATCAGTGTTGTGACACAACTTGAGAGATTCCCAGGCTTGCATTAATTTCCCATCAGCCTGGGCTGCTGTAATGACGGTAAGCACAATGCGCTTGCTCTGCTAAGAGAGCAAGATGAGAGCTGGGTGACTGAGATCTGCCATACATATTTATCAGCTGAGGGGCTGGCACAGTTTGTATCACTATGTAAGAGCAGTGAAGCAAGCCATTGCTTTGATTTACCACCTCCCAAGGAAAAAAAATGTAGCAAACAGATCTTTTTGGGGGGAGTTTGAAAAAAGCTGTATCCCGCTCCCATCCTGCCCCTCCCCAGTGTGTACGTCTGTGAGAAAGGACAGATGGCCACCAAGAGCACCTGTCCCTTCAGGGGCTTTGTTGAGAAATGTCAGGTAGGTAGTGCAGAGAGCAGTAGGGATCTGACACATGTTTATACAGATGGGCTGGCTGAAGCAAGTCTGAGGCTTCTGCCTCTTGTACTAAATTCAAATATTTTTATTGCTTGGTGAAAGATCTGAGCACGGTTGAGTGAAATTCTCAGAATCTGCACCCTCCATGCCTGTTTTACCAGATGGCTCTCATTAACTGGTGAATGGGAATGTCTGGTTTTGGCATGGCTGTAGTAATTTTACTTGGGTGTTAAGATGGAGAGGAGTCATGCAGTACTTACAGGATCCCTTTTTACAAGGCCCGGGTTAGGCACAACAGCAATGAGGTGGGCAATTGTAAACATGGAGTTCAGCACATAAGAAAAAAACAAATTCTTATGCAGTGTTATCCTTTGACAGCTGAGGCTCCTGAAAAATATGTAGCACACATTGTAAATTAGTATTTTTCTCCTGATGTCACTTTAACAAGCTCACTCTGGCAACAGTCTCTCAAGAATGCCTTTTGGCAAGGCATGATAGGAAAATACATGCCTTGCACTGCAGCCATAACCTCTGACAAATTTTTGGGTTTGTTTTTACACCTGTTTAGTACCACATGCTTTTTAGACCATGTTGTAAAGAGCCATCCGGCTAAATTCTCAGACCTTGATGCCTTTCTTTATTTTATGGTAATCGAGATATTAAGTGGTGAAGCAGAACCCTGAGAATTTAGATGTGCAAGATACAAGTAATGAACATCAGGAATAGTGCTTTATAAGTGACTTTTCCCTGGAGACTCAATTTCTCAAATATTCAGATGAAAATTATTTGCTACTTTAGGAATTAGTGGTGAGACAGGATGGGAACTTTGGGCAGGAATCCCCTTAAATTACAGGGGGATTTGAGTTGGTATCCTGCATGTTTCTAACTCCAGCTGAGATCACAGACTAGAAGAGGTTGTTTTCCTGCTCAGAAGGAGCAGCAATCTTTTCTGAATGGCTGATTTTGCAGAGGGTAGGATTTCTGCTATTGTGGGATAGCAGAATTTCACAAGAGAAGTTCACAGGATTCTTGTGCAACCAAATCATGACTGCAGTTTCAGACCTGAACTGTCACCCCTTTCTAATTCATGCCCAAATCCTCATGGCACCTCCTCGGCTACCCCTGAGAAAGAGAATAACGCCCCCGCAGTGCTCCATGCTCCGGAGCACAGCCCAGAGCTGGCAGGAGGTGATTGCAGAAAGGCAATCATGGAGTTGTTAGATAATGCTGTGATATCTGTATTCAGTGATCACTGAGAGCAAGCAGGCAAAACAGGTAGGTAAAAAACAACTAAGAGCAAGTATCGCTGTCTCACTGAGGCAAGCCTCCCCCTCGGCACTAGGAGTCTTTTGCAGTCTGGAACGGAGCACAGGCTGTGACTTTCTGCAGCTCTTCATGTGGAGGCTAACGCAGAATGCACTTTCTTTAAAACAGAGCGCTAATCTACCCAACTGAACTCTCTTCTGCTTATTTTGTTTGTTTGTTTGTTTGTTTTCCTTTTTTACTTCCTTAGTCACCTGCCGTTTATTCTTAGTTCTCCTTACACCTATTTTCTGAGTCATTGGGTGGAATTCTTCCTTCAGCCTGAGGTTGCCTTTCTGGTTATGGTCATCATCATCCTGCAATGCTCGTCAGTTTTGTTGACCTCCTTATTTACCAAGACATCTTCTTTGGTTCAGGATGTCCATGAGGGCTAGGAATGAGAGTATGTCTTTACACTTGCCCTGATTTTATATTCTTCCTTTAGAATCAGCTATTGACAACTGTTGAGCATCAGATATGGGGCTAGGCACACGTTCAGTTTGATCCGCTGCAGGACAGGATATTGAGCAAACCAGACCATTCTTTGAAGCTATTTTTTCTACACTGTGTTCTTGTGCTTACTCCATCTGTATTTGCCCCCATCACAAACCCAGTCTAATGTTCCTTTTCTGATCCTAAGCTCTGGTGGTATTTATCCAGTCCTGATTCTTCCTTGCTCCCCAATCTCCATCACTGTACTTTGCCTATGCTCCTGACCCCACTTTTCTTGGGACACTATGATGTGCCCATCTCCCTCTGTCTTTCTCTTGCAGTCCTGGGAACAGGATTGGTGTGATGTCAATCCTGTTCCCAAGAAATAAAAATGTCTCTATTATTTAGAGAAGTCTCTTCAGGTCCTGGCCACAGAGATGCAGATCCTTGTCTCTCCAGCTGGCTCTCTACATAGTTACTGTACAGAGAGAAAGTCTGTGATGATCTCTGCCAGGTACATGTACCTCCACTCCCCTTCCTGTCCTTCCTCACTGCTCTGCTTGACTTTTGCCAGTCTTACTCCTCCATTAAAATGGTCTGTCCTTCACTGCATGTTGCCTTCATCTGCTGTCCAAGGTCTGCCTGCCTTCCTTTCTTAGTTTTACTCCTGCACTGCTCTCCTACATTCCTCTTGGTATTCCCCACCTTTTTTCCTTGACTCCAGCTTTCATGTTAAAGACCCATCTGGATCATTAAGTGTGTATTTCCACACTCTCACTTTTTAATTTGACCTTCAGTGTTTGCCATCAAAATGGCATCAGCACCCACGTGACTCAGTCCACAGTTAGAGGGGAACGTTCTAGCAAAACCAAACCCCTTACTTGACTCATCCTCTCTGGTGGTTTTGACAATCATCTGTAATCTTCCCCTTCTCTGACCTCTCTTAGCTGTCTTCCTGGCCCTCTTCCTGATTTCCTAATCATTCCTTCATGGTGCTTTTGAAGGATCCTTGTCACCCGCCCCATCCTGCTGTATGCTCCCTGCTCTGCTTCATTAATCAGTATGGAAGAAGGCATCACTAAGCCAGTTATCAGGGTCTAAAACTTGTGGGGTTTTTGTGTCGCTATGCCTCTGTCAATTGTGTCTCAGAGTTTCAGAGTCTCCTGTGTTTCTCATGGTTCCCCTGTGTTTCACATTTATCCTATGTCTCCTACATTTCCTTTGACAGGGACAGTTCCTCCTATCTACTCACAGAGTCACCCTTACTTTTGAGTTCCTATCTCCACTTCTCTATTGCATCTAGGATATTTTGACCTCCAAGGAGCTTTTAACACTATTTTTTTCATAGATCTGTGCTGTGAATCTGTTATTTCTTCTCATTCATGAATATCAAGAATATGGATTTTCACCCCCAGCCAGTTATTTTCCATCTCCTACCCACTTGTCTAGTTTTCAGATTATTTTCATGCTTTCTACCATGCTCTCCCTTACCCCTGGGCAAAAAGCCCAACAAACTTCCACAAATTATCCTTCCACCCATTATCCTTCTTCAACTCCCTTTAAAAGCCTTGGCAACAATTAGACTGCAGGTGCATTCACAACACACCATCTATTATTCTGGCACATCTAGACTTATTGTACTCCCTACTTGTCTTCATACAAATGTCTTTGTTTTAATAATTCAATTGGAAGTGATTTGGAGCTCGGAGTCCCATTTTTCTTTTGTGTTTTATCATACAAGTTAACGGGGTCTCAGTTTGCAATTATATAATTATTGCAATAATGCGATGATGCATGTAACTGTCAGACACTCTACTTTATGAATAATCTGCCTCCTGTTATGAGTTAGTATTGCTTAGTGATGCTCATCACTACTGATTCAGTATTCCCTTCCGGAAGTACTGCAACATCCGTGATGCCAGATCATTATGAATCTTGGTACTCAGAACTGAAAGGAAAATAAATCTCTGCCAGGAAAGACTTATATGTGGGAAACAGCAACCTCTGCAAGTTGTTTGTTGCTGACTCTACAGTCAAAGGCTATTATATGGCCCTGAAACCATCTCTTCCTATCCAACTGACTGTTTGATTGACAGCTTGCCTTCTACTGAAGGTCAAATAATCTATCCCTGTCATAGCCAGATGATAGAAAACAACTGAAGGTAACATGAACCCTGCTCCCATACGATTTATTCTCACTTTCTTATGATCGTGGTTTAGTTTCCTCTTTGTCCTCCCATTTTGCAGCGCTTTGGTTTAATTTCTTTCTCTACTTCTTCCCGTAATCTTTGTCTCATGTATTAGTCATGGAAGGAGAAAGAGTAGTGGAGGAGGAAAGAAAGGAGGAGGTGTGTTACTGTCTGGAAGGCTGTTGCAAAGATAAGCCTTTCAGCGCGGCCTGGGACGGGTCAGGATCGTGCATTGTCCATGACTCAGAGCTAGGAGTGAGTCAGACAGCCTGATCCTGCCTCGCTCGCTGCAAGGAATCACCCTGGTCCATTCTGGGCAGCCAATTAAACCAGATCCTGTCTTTACTGTCCCAAAGAACTCTGAAGCCTGGGTATAGGATTCCAAATCAGATTAAATTGTGCTCTTCCCAGTTTTCTCAAAGCATTAGTGTGGCTGTGGTTTTGTGCTCTTTGTCTTTACATAGACAGGAAGGGAATTCAGTTCATTGGGCAGAGTTTCTAGCTATCTCTGTATCTGATTACTGCACATTATCACAGTCACTCATCAAACTGCCTCTCTGGAAATCTGCAGAATTCACAACCTGTATTTTGGATCCACCTATTTTGAGCTTGTAATCTTACAGACTCTTATAGTCTATGCAAAGTCCAACCATTTCATTTTCCTATGTTTCCTAAGCTTGCTCTTGGTGGTGGTGATGTTGGGGGCTTGTTCTTTTACTACCCTTCCTGTCTGACAATTGAGGCACAAACATCTAACCGTATAGACCTAAGCTTTATGCCACCTTCTTCTGGCCTCTCAATTTACCGAGCATACCCTTTTCCAGCCTATAAGGACATGCTCATCCATGGTGTACCTTTGCAGGGACCAGCAGCAGATGAAGTAACCAGGGAGAAGCTTTGCATAATGTTACTAAGAAAATTACTATTAGAAGGCATTCAATATGAATTATCCATAGATATGTAGTGCATATAGATCAAAACTTGGACCAGAAATAGACTAAGGTGCCTCATGTAAGATTTAGATTAAATAATACAGGGGCTCTGAGGTTAGAACTCATTTAAGCACTGGTACAAGTGATCTGGGGTTTTGTGGAGCACCTTTCACTGCAGATTTTTAGAGCAACGCAACCATCCCTTTTGCACTAGAGGTGGGGGTTCAGCAAGGGCTTCTTTTTAATCCCCAAGTTTATGCAATTACTATGCATGTGTAAGCTGCAAGTTTGTGTTTCCTATGTACTGATGAATTCTACAAATGCTCATACGTGTGTTTGTGGCCAAAAACCCACATCTCAGAAATTCAGATAATGAAGCTGATGATATCTCATAATCCAGCATGTAAAGTTTGTCACATTGCATTGAAGTTTTTCACTTATGCTGCAGAACATTAAATCTACCAATTCCAAGACACTTAACAAATGCCAGTGAGTTTAGACACATAAAAACTCTGTACTAAAAGAGTCATAGTAAATGTTTAAATCTAAATTGTCATGATAGAAAATGCACTGGGCATGCTTCATTATGATTCCTTGGCCTTACAGGTGACAAAAAGGAAGAACTGAATGTTTACAGAAATATCCTTTGTTTTAAGTTAAGGCTGCAAGAAAAAGAAATAGAAAAAATGACCATTTTTTCCCTTTTCAGACTTGAAATTTCAGCATGAAAAACTGCTCTGGAAATTAAAGGTTTTAAAGAGAATAAGTCCTGGTCTTTTTGAAAATAAGGCATATATACATTCATGATTTGGCATGAATGGGAAGGTATTAATTTAGAACTTGCTCTTAATTCACAGTTACTGTTTTGGTCACTAAGATCTGAAAAAATGCATTTGATATATTTGTTAAATTTGAGTTGGGAGATTTGAGGGCTTATTTTTGGCTTTCATTTTCTAGAAACATCAACCAAATAAAAACAAATTATAAAATCTGACCTGTATAAAAAAGTCATGCTCTTTATCTGTCTGCTGGAAAGATAATTAATCCCTAGAATTATTCTGCACTTCTGGATTGCAAATACACCTTTAAGCTGCTGAAATAGACTGATGAAGCTACAAAAGAATATAATTAATCTTTCTGTGAGGATGAAGATAAACAAAAAAATTGTATTTTGGATGCTCATCAAGGGCTCAAATCTGTTTACATTCATGTAGAAGGAAGCTTATTAATACTCTCACACAGGCCTATTTGTGTTCTGGCATAATTTTAGCTTGAAATTTCTTGCAGGCTAAATTACAATCTTGAAACAGTATACTCTTACAATAACAACAGTGATGGACTTTTAATTACTACAGGTTGCCATTATTGTGCAACTATTTGTTCTTAAACTCTGTGAAGAAGCTTGTGAAGAAACGAAGGTTTTTTTGTGTTCCCTTTTCCTTGTATTCCTGACTGCTCAAAGAATACTGCATTCTTTGAAGAGTCTAGGTTTTTTCTGTATTCTTGAATGAGGTAAGTTTTTTGGCAATAAAAGTCCATCAGTTTATAACTCTGTGTGTGTGTGTTATTCATTCAGAAGCATTTGTAATTGTGGCTTATATAACTCTTACTTTGTTTCCAAGTGTGCAGTGTGGGGAATGCTTCTTCGTATCCTTGGAAACCTTTACCCAGGTAAAGTTGGAAAACTTTACCTGGCCTTTTAGATTACCTTGCAGTTATCTCCAGATACACTCTACTGATGGTGAGCATTTCCTTATCTCTGGTCACAAACTGATGGTCTGGCTATCTGATTACAACTGATGCACCTTTGCTGAAATCAGTATGACACCATCCCATTTGGGTCATTACACTGGATGTATCATTCTGTTTCATCAAAGTATCCGTGAATGGACATTACAACCCTGATTTCTGAGTGTACTATCAGTCCAGGAAGTTTGCAGTTTACAGTAATGTTACGAAAGTGAAATACCTTAAAAAGATTGCTTAAGAGCTAGAAGAATATAGTTTATGCAAGTCATCATAGCTCTGGATGTACAATAGCTCAGGATCTTGTCTAGTGTTTATACTTGAATATTTTCCCCAATGCCTTTGATATCTTCTGCTGCTTACCATTTCCCTGACCTGAAAACTGAAGGCTGTTCCCAGACAGCCCTTCACTACTGATTGCAACTGAAGTTGTGACTACATGTCTGATGGCAAATCTGAGCTCCCTCTGCTTCTTCGCTGAAGACACATTATAATAAATAGTGTGCGGACAGGTTCACTAAAGGACAAGATTTAAATGCTCTAGTTAAGATGCCATACAGTAGCTGCAACGCCTTCAGTAAATATCAGTTTAGTCTCCTTTAAAGTTATGATACAGCACATCACTGTTTTTCCTTTTAATGATGATGACAGGCTACACACTAGTGTCAGATTCACACTCAGTGCTGAGTCCTGTAAGCACCTACTCAAGACAACAGCTCAGTCCTTCAGCATTGGATGAAGGTATTCCTGTTCTTCAGGAGCTGGGGGCTCCAAGCTACTGCCCTGTGCAGTCACTGCACCTGCCAGGGGCTGGACATGCCCTTCAAGGAACAACAGGCATCTGGTAAATGAAGGGCCTTACCACATCCCCAGTTACACCATTTCCCTATGGGCTGCACTTTTACATCAGTATTGACAAATGTAACACCATGATCTTGGCTACACACCACTGGGAGATGGTTACCACTTGAGATCCCTCAGGGAAAGAACAGAGAGTATCTGTAAGAAACACTTACTTGAAATAGAAGAAAATTGCCAAGGAAATCAACAGGGATGTTATAGACAGAGCATGGCCAACGATCGCCATATAATAAAGTATGAACGCCATCTGCAATTTAACAAAAAGAAAAGGCAAACATGAACAATTTGTAGGCACTCACATTTTTTTCTCTTTGAGGAAGAATCTACAAGATCAACCTCCCATTTTATATTTCTTTTCGTTCAAAGGTTCTTTTTCAATATACTTTTAATCTCAGCAATCTATTAAATAGCATGACTCATGGTCTAAAGGTGAGGTAAGTGTTTCTTACATGAGTTGATCTGTTTCTGCTGCACTGAAGTAACTGGCGAAATTCCTGCATCACTAACTTTCCCAAGCTCTAGGAGAGCGCAGCAGACGTAACACATTCAGATTTTCAAAAAGTCCATGACAAGTTTCCACACACAAAAAAATTATTAAAGAAAATAGGTTGCCACAGGATTGGTAGAAAGTTTTTATGGTTTGAAAGCAGCTTAAACATGAGGGAGCAAAAGCTTAATGGTCACTTTTGGAAATGAGTCAGTGGTTAGGTGCCTTCAGGACCAGTATTGGGGCTGGCTTTCTGTTCAACATGTTCATCAGTGACCTGATGCAGAGAAATCTCTAAGTTTCCAGGTGATTCTCAGGTCTTCCAGATAATAGTGAGGGACTCCACAAGGGCCTCATATAACTGAGGGGACAAGAAGATTCCATATGAGCTTTAATACAGGAAAAAGTGGGGTGATACACCTAGGGACAAATGATCTAAACCCTGCCTACAAAATGCTGAAAGCAAAACTGGAAACCAAACTCAGGAAGGAGATATTGGAGTCATCCTGGCCAGTTCTCTGAATGATTGGCTTACTGTGTAATGACAGCCAAAAAGTCAACAAAATGTTGGATACCATCAGGAAAGGCACTGAGGGTAGAACATCATTATGGCTCTGAAATTTACATCTCACATCTTAAATACATGTGTGTTTCTAGTCTCCATGCCTTATGGACATGGCAGAGCTACAAAAGGTACAAAGAAGGCAACTAAAATAACTGAGGTAGCGTAGCTGTGTTATGACAATTGGGTACAAGTGCTGGGATTCTCCCCTTTGGAGAGGAGAAGTCAGAGGTGGCTTATGATTAAGGCCTACAGAGTCATGAAAGCAACAGATAAGATGAAATTTATCCTCAACTCATACCACGCTAGAACAGAACATGCTGAGATAAATTCTGGTTCACACTGGTTGAACCTTGCTATTGGGCAACTAGATGGTCTTACAGTGCTGTGAAGCCAGTATGCACAAACAGATAATCAGGCTTCTGTTTTAACTAATATCAGTGAAATCTAAGACAGGCCTATCCATATTTTGTATGCCAATAGTGAAACAAAATCGCAGGACAGCACCTGGGTACAGTATGCTGCGATATTTAAATGTCATACTTTGGTCTCAGCCAAGCTCTTAAGCATCACCCAACTGTCAGAAGACTGCAGGAGGCTAAATGGCATGCCAGACTTCACCATTGCGTTCTTTTCTGAAGGCACTAATATAGTATCAGCCTGTCCTAAAAAGAAGACTAAATAGCAGGCCTTAGTTCCTCTGCTGCGTTTATTTCTTTTCAGCTTCACTTCATTTATTTTTCTTTTGTTATGCATGAGCAATTTTCCTTTTTTCAACAATTAGATTAATTGCTTTCTGTAGCCCTAAGTTTTGCCACTCACATTTTTTTGGTGTTTCCAAGTAATTTTCAACTTGCATTTGAAAACAAATATGAATAAAATCCAGAAAACAAAGCCATTCCTCTTAGCAAATGTGCACATCTTCTCATCTAGTTTGTTCTTCAGTCATTTTACAACTTTGGAATTAGCTCCTGCTTTCATTAACTTAAGCAGTGGTGGCCTGATTCAGATTTAAACCAAAGTCACATTTACACCATCCTGACAATGTAGAACAGACATGATCTGAGTGTAAATAGCATTCACCAAGTTATGGAAATCTATGCATATTTACTGCAAATACCCTAGGTCGTCTAGTTTTCCTTCACAAAGACTAACCACAACATTGCTAGTGAGCACAAATGCTTGACAACTTGTTCTGAGAGCACCAGCAACCCCAGAGAGGGAAGACCAGAGTGCAGAGAAGATGAAACAACTTTCTGAATACAGAGTAGTGGGAGAGGTTTTTACCTGTGTGCATGTGACATTTCTTCCACTCCACAGTAAGTGGTTGCTATGGTTTTTCATTATATTAGACCAATATAATTTTTAAGCCTGAATTTAATTTACAGATGAACTGTTCAAAAATACGTTGTTTTGCTGCCTATCCTGTCTACAAGCTGAAACAGCTAGTAGGAGAGGCTTCCAGATAGCTACATGCAAGTCTATGTGCACCCCAGAGGACTCTTGGTTATTCAAACTATCTACCTTTCAGTGTACAACTGCTAAATCAGTTTAACTACATATCTCGGACTCAGTAATAGCATTTTTGATTACTCCATGTAAGCTTACTATGGTAACTGCTCAAAAAAGCTTTCCAAATATAACAACAAAGACAGATCAGAATGGACTGGACTGTCAGCTAACAAAGCATATGGTCTACCACCACATTTTTAAGAACTGGCTGTAATACTGGTTTTTTAAAGTCATCTGTCTCAAAAGTATACCATGCTTGTATTTCCAGTTAACTTCAAACAAATAATAAACTATTTTATTAATTTCTGCACTCCTTGAACTGGCAATCTGTCATGTCCCTTCTGACATACAGGACTTATAACATGCTGACTCACCAAATTTTTAGCTTATGCGGATTTTGTCATCCTGGGCTTAGAAAACTTCTAAAAGAATCACTTAAATGTTCTTTTTTGTCCCTCTTAGAATTCCTCATTTGAAAAAAGAGAATTCTTTAATAGGAATACCTCCTACTCAGTTAATTATATTATCTGTAGGTGCATGGAAATAGTCTACAAATGAAGCATACTGCTGTTTTTGAAGACTTGGACTGAGGGTCATAATCTAACTTGGCATTTCTGTAAAGATAGATTCTTTATGCATTTTTTTATCATTTTTTGTTTCAGAAGAATCTCCATGTACGTACAATTTTCCTTTGTGTTCTATCTGCACTTTGCTTGAATGATGTTCAAAATTGTTCTTCTGGAAGGCATGGATAATAGGTAACAGAACTACATTTTTTGCCTCCCTACATGGGCCAACATCTGGAAAAATTATATTTTTATGGTGCATCCATTTAATGCCTGTGTGAGCTCAGATTGTTACTATTATTCTCTCTTTGTCAGATAGGTGAGCCTTGTTACTATTATTCTCTCTTTGTCAGATAGGTGAGCCCCATTTTACCTTGATGGTTCCTCATGCTGCAAAAACTTTTAGAATTCACCTCCTGCCTAGTCCAGTAGACTTTTCCAAAGCCCTCTAGGCTGGATCATTACTAAATATAACCACATACTGCTTTTTGGCTGCATAAAAAAAGATCCTCCAACACAAACCCCAAATCAAATCCTTGTGTCAAAACTTTTTGACTCTTCTCCTTCCACAATTCCAAATAGTCACAAATTATTCTGTCTGTAATCAGATTTTCCTGGAGCTTCACTCACATTTGAGAAACATGTTTATTTTCATGAGCTTCCCTAACGTAATTTTTTTTAAGCTTTCCTCAATTTCTCTCTCCTTGTTTCTTTTGATACTTTTATATTTAGTTCTCCTCTTTCAGCTTAGCAACTTGTTTTTGGAAATATTAATGCAAATGCTTCATTCATTATTGTAAATAGTCTCAATGACTTCAGTCAACCTGTTAAAATTAAATGTGTTCAGGCTTGTATGATTTTCTGGATTAATGGTACCTTCATAAATATTTCTTTTCAAAGGGAATGAGTATAGGGTCATATTCTTTGCTTAAGAAAAATAATTTTAACTTACGTTAATATTTCTAGCCCTGCAGAGAAGACATCAACAGCTTGGAAGATACTTGTTACAGAAAGCAAAATTGAAATTCTAAAGGATCATTTTATAACTGTTGGACAATCAGGGAAAATCATAGGAATTAAAAAATGCATTTGAAAAATACTGCAAAACTTGTCACATGAATTGCTACTAAATTATCCACCCTGTAGCAAACCTATATTTAGGTTTGAGCACTCATCAAATAATTTTAATAAGCTAAAATCATGAGGACAATGCTATTAAATTCTTCTGCAACAAATAGAGCTGAAAGATGAGAACTATTCTGATGTCTCTCATATGTGTCTTACTGCTACCCAGCCCCAAACCATTCCCAAATAATCACTGCCTTTTTAACTGTAGCATACCTTTAATTTTTCAGAGGTGAAAGAGTTGCACAGGGTATAGTTGGACCAAGTTCGGTTGCTCTCAGGATGGCGGAACCAGTTTCCAGTTTCATCACAGTATTTTGAAGCCCTCTCTGATGATAAATTGCAACAACAGTTATTTTAGCATATTTATATTACACATTTAAAAATCCATAAAAAAGATTTTCTATGTTTGGAAATAAAATGCCCGTGTAACAAAATCCAAAGGATTTTCGACTTGTGCAATTAATATACATTTGGCTGTTTTAGATTTTTTTCTCAGAGATTTATCTGACGGTATACTTGTCATTTATCTGTCTCCTTTTGTCTTGAATGAATGCAGTAGTATATATACCCAGTCTTCATTCAGATGCAGTTATTTATGTGAGAATAATTCATTTAAAGAGGCCATTGAAAGCTGTTTATGGAAGAGAAAGTAACATCAGGCCCCGATGCCAAACCTGATGGAAGAGTGCACAGGCAGGCACAGTGGTGTCTGCATATCGTTAGTTCTTGTCCCAGCCTGCAATATTGGTGTTGGTAAAGGCATGTGCCCACACGGGCTGGCGTGCAAATCTAACTTTTTGGTTTTAAATCTGACACTCGCTAGGACATGCTGGTATCCATACACAGACGCTAGCAGACTGAATCTTGCAGCAGGGTTTCAGGTACCAAGGGAAATAATTAGTTAAAAATACTGTGTAGAGGAAGGACAGCAAGCAGTGTATAAACTGGAGCCTGGGTGCTGGAGATGGTGACAGCCCCAGCGCCAGCCATGCGCTTAAGCAGAGGGGTGCAAGAGTCCTGCCCAGCCTCTGTGCCAGCGAAATCCTGCTGGGGTGAGCAGGAGCACTGTTTAGTTCCTCTGAGGCTGCAAAGCATGCAGGCAGTGGGAGAAGCAGCCTTGCAAACGTTTTGGCGCAGGTCCCAAGTGTCCAGTTTAATTTAAAATGGCTGCAGAAGTTCTCCGTTTAAATAATCTGATGTGTGTTTGGCCTCCTCACATGCGTCTGCGGTGCTGGTTCCTGCGCCACAGGTGGCTCTGGCATCCTTCCCGAAAGCCCTGCCGTACGGATCACTCTCCAGGCTCGTGCTCCTTCGCACACGTCCTTTTACTGTGGCAGGGGGGCGGTCGGGGCTTCAGCACCGTGCAGCTCTGAGGGATGCCTGGAGCTGCAGATGCGTGCTGTGCCTGCGTCCTCCCAGCCACGCTCACAGTTCTGCCTGGGAAAGCCTGGACGCTGAGGCGCAGGCAGTCACTCCTAATCACCTGTCAACTTTTGGACTAGTTCCTTTGGCCTTCCCTCAAGCATTAGCCAAATGGAAGTCACTGGAAAGTTTGCCCGAGTAACAAAGGCAGGATAAGATCAGAAACCTAAATTATCTGATGTTTTCTTAGATAGTTACACAGCTGTTTATTTATGAAAAAGACAGTTTTTCAAGTCTGACTTTTAAAATAGTCTAGAAAGCCTATCCTGACTTCCCTTTGCCTATTCTAGCTTTACAATGTTATTGGCTTTATACATAGATTATCAGCATTTCTAGTCAATACACTTCTACAGAGCCAATTACCATTTGAACATACACATTTTCATTTTATGTGTTCAACATTTGCATTTATTTTTCTTAATCAGCTCTGATGATTAATGAGTCTATTAGTTTGGAATATTCATGTTCCCTCTATACACCCTAGAGAAAACAATCAATCATACTGGCAAGGTAAGCATTGTATAGACGGAGCTATCTTCCTCTGACTAGAAATACACTTTATATAGTGCCATTGCAAAAAAAAAAAAAAAAACCAAAACAAAAAAACCACGACAGTCCTTGAGAACACAGCATACTTTTGAAAATACTGTGAGCTTCAAATCATTGTTCTGGGGGACTTGTTGAAAACCAGTGCGTGCATCAACGACACCAAGAAGAACAGTACATGTTATCTCAGCCTTCCATCGCTGCAGCTTGGAGATAATCTCAGACTGCCTGTGCAGCAATGTTCCCATTGTATTTGTTGCCAGATATTATCTAAAGCTGGAAAAAGTTTTCAGTCATAGATAAAAGATTAATGGTTACGCTACCATGGAACACAGTGTACAAACATCGTACCTAATATCCCATGCACTCTGCAAAGTACATGGCTTTTGTTAATATGCTATACGGTATAATGGTAATATCATTTATCATCTCTGTACTTTAGTGCCTAGGTAGGCACTTTGCTGAAGTTTAATGTGGCCTCTGAAAGTTAGAGACAAACCTGTTGCCTCATACTTTTCCTTGAAGCCAGACAAACACTACTGACCCTAGTCTGGAAGCGGCCATGGCCTACAGATTTCGTGCTGTGATATTGTCAGAATATGGGACGGGGGGATAAGCCTCCCTACTGTCCATTCCAGTGACTCAAACAGGTCAAACACCTCTTCTAAATCTATGATTTTATACAGAGATAAAGCTGTGAGTCTGTAACCCAACGACTGTTCTGCTGCAAGTTATTCTACAGTGCCTCAGTAGCAGGTGTGACATTATGAACCTGGGCATGTGTTGGTTTTTATGCTAACCGGAAGAATCTAGGAAGCTCTAAGGATGGGTAAGGCAATACTAGCAGGGCAAAAGCGAAGTGTGTGCTTCGAGATTATTCAAATACCACATAAACACTAATTTTTTAGGCTCTGTCTGTACCCTGTCAGCTTGTATAGGGCACCTCTTGGGCATCACTTTATTAAAGTGGAGGAACAGTGACACTGCGTGGGATTCATCTCACCTGACTTTAGCAACCTCAGATTTATGCAATTCATAGGCAGTTGTGCAGGCTCTCTGTAATTAGCTTAGAAAGACAGACACTTCAAGAGCTGTCTGGGAAAACTGGATAAAAGAAATCTTGTCCACGAGGGCAGTTTCATGGGAGTAGTGAAGTGTTTAAAAAGATTAACCAGTAGTAATATTTTTGCATGTGGCATTGCTTGTGCTACCAATAATGCTTTTATGTATCGCATTTTTATAAAAACAACTCAGGCATTTATATGTAACAAATACCTTAACCCAATAACTCTGGAATAAACATGATGGCTCTATCAATCAGGTTTTTTACAATTAGACCAACTCTATAGCTAGCAGATGTTAAAAGAGTCAACACCACTTTTTTATTTATTGTTGAGTTATAAGCTGGAAGTAGAAAGATTTCCTCTGTTGCAGTGCGTGCTCAGCACATACCAGACATCGGATTCTTTGCCATTGTTTGGATAGACCTGCATAGTACTTAGTTTTGCAGATGAAGGAATAGCTGATGTAGCACATCTGATTTACTTACATCCTCAGTAAAATATTCTAGAAGAAAATTTTTCAAAAACAAAAACCAAAATCATCTGATGTAATACAATGGAGACCCTAGGAAACTTCAGTTCCAGTGTCCTAATAACTGAAGAGTCATCACTATCATCAGAATGCCTCAGTAAGCAGAACTGGAATCTGTATAATAAAGTCATATTGTGCACTGTGGGGATAAGAACTGATTTTTAAAATACAGCTGTCAAGCTTGCTAAGAAGCAGGACAGAAATACACATAAGGGTAGGAAGAAAAGAAGCAGCTGGACAAAGAGTTCAGGTTTGTTTTATCTATCACTGTCTAAATGATATCACTTCAAGACAGGAAAACAGGACCAGCAGAAACACAGAGCTGGCTTTTTTAGGCAGAGTCAGGAAATTTGCATTTGTGGCAGCAAGAGGAGGGGTCTCCCAGGCCCAGCCCTCCATGCACCTCTCAGGGTGCTCCAGCAGGTCCCTGGGGTTCTTGCCTACCAAGGATGCTGCTCCCTGCCCACACGTTGCCCTGCGGAGGCACAGTGTTGGGTGGGAAGGAGCACATCACAGAGCAGGTACGCAGGAGGGGAGACCACGGCTGTGAAGGTGCTCGAATTAGGGGATGCCTGAGGAAGTGGTCTCTCTGCCTGCCAGGAGCCAGGGGGATAGAAGGAACCGCAGCTGCTGCTGCAACCCAGAAGCTCTCTCTCCCTCGCTGGTTTGTGGAAGGCCATGATTTCTCATCTGCAATGACTGCTCTTGTCAGCTTGGCAACCTACTCAGCTGAATGCTTTGTGTATTTTGCCAGCTGTGAGAAGGGTGTGCCTGTGTCCCTCAAATCCAGTCCCTTGTGGTCATAGGCATCACAGCTGGTAAATCCAGAAGGGTCTGCAAGAGCTATTCATTCTGCTCCCCCTTCGTCTGTATGGAGCATTTATCCTTATTTCTCTAAAAAATATTTTTTAAGAAAGGCAAAGCAATTCAGGGACCACAGTAGGGCACAAGAAGAGACCTGCAGATAATACAAACACCGTAGTGCCTCTGCACCCTCCGCTGCCATGATCCACACTCCAGAGCAAGGGGACCTCACTCCCTCCAGTCAGCATCACGGCAGGATGGCAAGGCTGTACTTCCATGTTCCTCAGTTGTGAGAGGTAACAGCACATTAAACATCATCTGAGGTAACTGCTTATGGATACACATGGATCTGTTTCCAAATTGCACTTTTAGAAACTTTGCTTTTGGAGCCACATGAAGAGTTGTGACTGGTTTACAAAATGGAACCAAAGGCAGAAACACAACAAAGTGGAGAACTGAGTAGAGTTTTGCTAAATGCAGCCTTGGACCACAAAATTGGGCTGGACTTGCTCCCTCCTGGGGTGGCTACTGCTCTTAACCACTGCTCTCCGCCAAAGCAGAAAGGGAGTAAAAGTGAAATGAAAAGGTATGGCTGTCACAGCGCAACTTGCACGTTCAGCTCCATTGCTATGTGACTGCACCAAACTGATCCTGACCAAACACCCCGTGCAGGGAGAGTGAGGTGGGTAACGTAACACTCCCCTGCCGCAAACCCAACAGCCTGTGCACAGCACAGGGCAACACTCTGCTCTTCCTGTTGCCCGCAGTAAATCTGCCTTGCTGGAAGGCCATTAGATCCACAACATATTTCCCTTTATTTTATTAGCAAGAATATTACCAGCATGAGTTACATACTACATTCCTATCAAATTCAATTCCTAGCAATTTCAGCATGACCTGGAACCATTTCAAAGGGATTACACCAAAGATTAACTTGGAAAAATATGAATATAAAATAGAATTCAAGAGAAACTGTGCATGGTGCCTGAATAGGGGAGTATAAAACTCAGCCTTCCTCAGAGCCGCACAGTCAGGAGTGGATGAGGCAACGAATTTCCTGCTGTCACTGGAGTTAAAGCAGTAGGTCTCGGTATGTTTTCCAGACAAATTGATTTGTTTTTATGCTTTATCACATTGTGCATGACGGTCATTGTGAGAAAGAGATTGCTACAAGAGGCAACAGTTGTTTATTGAAAAGGACAAAGTTGTCACAGCTTGTAGAAAGGGATTTCTGCTTGTCTGCTAGCTTTAAGGTCCTCATTTCCTTACACAGGGTAGAGCTTCCTCAGGTGAGGAAAGAAGCATGGGAAGCCCTAGATAACTGAACAGACTGGATTATCACAGTGGTCCTTCCTTTTTTCAGAATACAGATTAGTTCATTAGTATGAACTAACGTAAGTTCAGTGAACTAAGTGGGACTACATCTGGTAGTTAGTTGTGAAGTTGTTGGACACAAAATAAATGGAGCACTGAGTGTGTTCTCCATCATTTTGCTTCTTGGTCCTTTTCTCCAGAATATGATTTCACCTTATTTACTTCCTAACATACTCTAGCAATTTATTCTCAGCATTGATGCTGAATGTTGTTGGGGATTCAGATATAGAGAGCTGGTATACAGCACCCACAGGTGCAGGTGGGAGGAGGATCCGATCCTATGTTGCCAGATAATGTTTTACTTTTCCAGTTATGAATGATGTATCAAAGCACAAAAAGAAAGCTGAATGACATCATTTTATTCCAGGGCTCAAAGCTATACACGGTCTCAAACTAAAGTAACTTAGCCATCAGTGAGCTGATACACAGTGGTTCTGCAGATCTCAGTGCAGCCCAAAGCAGCACATACTCATTCCAAAAGTCCATGGGGTTACATGCACACCTAAAATACATGCTGAGGTGGTTTGATATCATGGAGACTTAATGGGAAGGAAATCAGACAGGCAGTGCAGTTTTCATCTTGTGAAATCATTGTTCTTTAGGATGAATTTGCTGTTTCTCAGCTGAAAATCTAGCTGTATTTTGTTTAACAGGCATAAGTTACCAAAGGAAATAAAGACTTGTGACACAAAAACTGACAGATTTCTCAGGACAGCTGAACCTGTGCTTCAGGCCACCTCTAAGTGTCAGCCACTTCCATTAGCAGTTGAAAGACTTCTAGTCACCCCCATAATTTCTTGTCTCCCTCCTAATTTATTAAGTCGCAGTGTGACAATCAGCCACCTGTAAAGCAAAGGCTGGCTCCCTGCTGGTTTGGTGCTGCAGCTGTAATACATGCTGGGGGGCTGAACAGCTACTCTAGGAAAGTGGCTCTGGCTCAACCAGGAGATGCTGGGCTGCTGCTGCTGAGCCAGGGAAACAGCGTTAACTGACCAGGATGCAGGCAGAGGCTGACAGAGGTGCCAGTGAGGAGAAGAGAGATGTGCCAGCGGAAAATACTGAGTCCAGAAGACCACAGGTATTGTTCCTAAACAGGACAGCAGAGACAACAGCAGGAAACTAATTACTAGGGGAGGCTTTTCCTCCTGTAGCTGTGTACAGAGAACAGGAATACTAAAAAATTCCCAAATCTGCAAGTTTTAAAGCATGGCAGAAAAAGTTACCGCAGTATGCACACACTGTGCGCCAGAGTCTGCAGCACACATCTGTACATTAAGGAGCAATTTGCAATCAGTCGTACGAGCCAAAGACCTTGGCGCTCATAAGCATGAATTAATAAGTGGAGTGAGGTGCTTCTCCATGGATGGCTTCAAGTGTTACTTTGAAGAGTGCTGTTGTAGCGGAGTAATTAGTTCAGAAGAAGTCACTGGAGACAAGCGGGCAAGTGGAAAAGATGGGAATAGGTGGCTTGGGAGCAAGCAGGAGAGTGGCTCGGTAATCACCCCCATGCACTGAGGGATGAGGACCTCGAGTCATGGGGAGAATTCTGAGATCACAGGGCTGCCCAACACCCACTTTTGCAGGTATTAGCTGAATAGCACATGGAGTATACACAAAATAGGACTGTTAGCGCTACAATCTTTTTTTCTATGAAAACGGTGGAAGGAGGGAAAGCAGAAGCCTTGTAGTAAATTGTCATATTTATCAAAGGGGCTGTTGCAACATGGGGAGGATATCATGAACAAAATGGGGGCCAAAGCGGAAGGTACAGACCCCATCCAAGAGGCACCTCTAACATGCATTTAAGAAAAGGCTTAGGAACCTCAGGATTCAGAGCCTCAAGCTCCCTCTTGAACAGGGAAAGGTGTTGATAACACACCAGTGTTTTGGCTACTGCTGAGCAGTGCTCCACAGCATCAAGGCTGTCTCACCAACATTCTCTTCTTCGCCACTAGGCTGGGAGTGGGCAAGATCTTGGGAGGGAGCAGAGCCAGGACAGCTGACCCAAACCGACCAAAGGGATATTCCATACCATATGACATCATGCTCAGCAACAAAAGCTAAGAGAAAGGAGGAGGAAGGAGGGGAGAGGGAGTGGCATTCGTTGTTACAACATTCATTTTCTGGAGCAACCACTATGTGTACCGAAGCCCTGCTTCCCGGGAAGTGGCTGGACGTTGTCTGCTGGTGGGAAGTAGAGAAAAAATTTTTTGTTTTCCTTTGCTTCCACATGCAGCCTTTGCTTTTGCTTTTTTAAACTGCCTTTATCTTGACCAACTAGTTTTTTTCCATCTTATTTTCTGCCCCCCATCCTGCTGTGGAGGGGAGTGATAGAGCAGCTTGGTGGGCACTTGGCGTCCAGCCCAGGTCAACCCACCACAACAGCTATGCAATAGTCTGTTTCCTTACTTACCAGCTGGGCACATACATATTGGTTTAACCTTCTTGAAAATTTTTAGATTTATATACCCTCCCTCCTCAATGTTTAGTTTTATAGTTTTTAACTACAATTGGTACACTCTGTGCTTGATTTAGCACACTGTGGCATCAAGCACTGCCTATGAACAAGATGTCCTGAGTGTGGAACACACAACTGTGTCTTTCTTCAAAACAATACTCTTCGTGGAGTTTAAAACACATATGTTTCCTCAAATCTATTTAGCAATATTTTCTGTCCTTGATTTTTTCCTTTCATTTGTCCTTTTAAACATTCTTGAATCACTTCTCTTAGTCTGCGTGGCTGTTAGTATTTGTATGAACAATTCAATGAACAACTGAAACTTGGAGACTGAAAGAACATTATTTCTGCTCATCTGCTTCCATAAAAATTGTATTTTCCAACAAAAACTGAACAAAGAACATGCCGATACATATTTCACGCACATAAACATTTTTTCTTCATTATAAAAACTTAGAATGAGGTGCTAAAAAGGTTTTGAAATTATAATTAAGTAGTTATTATTTTCATAAACTAGGTTCCATAAATCTATGGGTTATATTTACATAAGTATAAATACATGTAAAATATTTTACAAATGAAAATATATAAATTAGGCAACCCAAAAGCTTGATATATTTTAACTTCTGCCAAACTCTCTGAGATTTCACAATGCTGCAAAAATGCTACTGGAAAAATGCTTCCACTCAATGGAATGAATTTTTCAAAAGATAAGAAAAGAAATACTGTACCAGTCGGATCAAAATCTGGAAAGTAATCTGGACAATTCTGAGCAGTGATTCTTCCAGCAGGCGTATCGTCCCAGCACAACCAGCCATCCCAGGTTCGGTTGCAGAACAGACCTGGAATTTAAAAGGAATGCAGTAGTCACTTCACACACAGTCACTCCTGAACCTGCTCAGTTCTAGCCTCCCAAGGAATACTGCTGTCTGCAGACAATTGTGTTTTCTTTTTGCAATAAAACCCCTTGTTATTGCTACACTTTGAGTGGCATTTTGGTGCTGCAAGGTACTTGGTTTTGCTGACCTGATGTTAGTGATGTTAATTTTACTGGAAAGTTAATGTTTTTAAGCCTGCTGACCAGAACTTTTGAATGTAGGGTCTAATCCTACAAATCCCTTTTCTTGATCTCCTCCTTCCATCCTTGGCTGTAAATGTGTACACTAGTGGTAAGGGGGGGCCCCAGTTATCCAAAGACCTTATAGACACCCACTTTTCATTTCACCTTCTACTGTTCAGC